GCCTGCTTCGGTATAAAAGCCGCATCCCCTCTCTTCCTCTGGCCGTTTCTTTCGCTGTGCCGTGGGTTCAAGAGACTGTAGGCGCTTGGGGAGAGATGACAGGGGGGCGATTGGGAAGTCTGATCCGGCGGGGCAAAGCCTCAACGCTGATCTCCCAGCTCAAGAATTCTTCTCCCAGGGTTCCTTATGGAGGCTCCTCCTCCCCCGCTCTTCCGCCCCCTCCGCGATTCGGCGGTTCGGGATCTCACCGAGAAGGCTTTCTTGCCAGATTCGCCTCGTTCTACGGGTTCAAATCCATGCCCAAGGTTCGATCCGCGATGCCTTGATGTCTTCTTTTATTGGTTGAGAGTTCTTGATTGTGGCGAACCGTGTCCATTGTGCCGGTCAATTGCGTTAAGCGATGATTCTTGGGGTTTTCTTGTAGCTTGAGAATCTTGGGGTTACTGAGGACCTAGATCGAGAGTCTTGATCAGTTACCGTACCCGATGTCTACTTGTAACTGAACGAAGAATCGTGGGGTGTCCAAGAACCATTACCACTGTTCTTGAACGACTGCCTGCGAACGATGTGTTACTTTTTGGGTTTGCTTCAGGTCTTAGTCGTTGTTAATTAGTTGAACTTTCTTGTGAAAAATTGGGGTTTCGACAGTCCCTTGTGGTCGCATGCTTCTGAGTTGTAGATGATGGAGTCAAGATTCTTGAAGGGTTTAAGGTTTTGTATTTTCTTGACCTAAAAGGAATAAGACAAAACACGAAAGGAAGAATGAGAGTGTAGATGTATATGTCTGATGGAGTGTGGCTAAAAGGTACTCTTGATGGACAGCAGAGATGGAAGGGCAGCGCCCTGGAAGAGAGACCCACCGTTATCGTGAGCAAAAATAGAGCATGATCATATCTACGATTCTGGATGGAGCGAATCTGGTGATGGACATATAATAATGATCTTCTTGTAACTAACCACATTTGGGGTTTTCTTTCAGGTCTTTGTTATAATTCGTGAGAATAATTTATGATAGAGTTGGGTTTAGTGATTCTTATGCTCGACTGTCTTTGAGTTAGTTACAGATACCAAGTTGAGGTTAAAGAAAGCAAAGAGATTAAGAGTCTTGTATTTTTGTGTTCGAAGATAGAGAGAGAGAGAGAAGCTCACTAATGGATAGCATGGGCAAATGGAGAGTGCCCTGTAAGACTGACAAGAGCAAAAGATATGGTAGTTACTACAAATCTGATTCTAAATGCAGCAAGTGTCTTGATGGTCTTTCATAAATACGAGCACATCCCTATAAAGAACATATGGATTCATGTGTCTTTTAATATGGACTAGTTGGATATACAAAAAAGTACTTCAAGTTTTGTGAGAAGTGAATTCCCCAATTGCTGCGAGAAAAGAAATCCGTGAATGAGCCCATTGCCCTAGTAGAATAAGTTGAACCAGCTTGAGAAACAGATGTTTTAAATAGAATTGGACTTAATAAAACTGGTTTTAGTTGGGAAAAAAAGGAAGAGTTGCAAAGATGGGTCTCATTTCAAGCAAAGGAATTAGCATTCATGTGACCAAGGTTTTTTGTTTTTGAGATTTATAATTCCTATAGTGTAGATTTCTACACCATGGTTACAAACTATCTTTTACTGAATGAGGAGGTTGAATTAGTGCTTTAGTTTATGCCTCAAGCTCCAACTTCATGGTGCAACATTTTTGAAATATTTATATCATTTTTCAGTCTGTAGGCTTTAGTTGGATCAAGCAATCATTCATTGCATTAGATAGCTGCGAAGTGCTTATTATTTACACCATCAGTTAATGATTAGATATTGCTCATTTTAGTCACACTCAGGTGCCTTCTTTCATCAAGATCTATTTGACAAGTTTAAATTGTTGTGGTGCTGGCTTCTGTTTTGGTTGATCATACTTGAAAGTTGTTAGGTCATTGTACATCATGTATTGCTTTCTAAGACCTCTGGAATCTAAGATTTTGTAAACCCGAAGTCTGTGTTATAAGCAAAGAATGTCAATGCACGAATTTGTAATTTCTTTCTTGATATTTTCTTTGTTTTCTTATAAAACTAGCTCTTAAATTAGAATGCTTTACTTTTGTTGGTATGACTTCATCACATTAAATATACCATTTTGTTAAATGGAGCTGAACTCTTGAGTAGTTGCTTAAGCATATGAGTTACAGTATGATGGGCTTTCTTAGTCTGTTAACCATTACTTTTGCCAGCGGTTCTTGTTTCTTTGCCTACATAAAGCCTCTGTTTGTCAATCATCCTTGTGATGTATGTACTTACGGAATGTCTTATTTCTCAAGTATTATATGCTATTCTGTCTGTGGATGACATATTTCTTTGGAGATGATGTAATTTTCCTTTTAAGGTTAGCTAATTTTATCTTGGAGAGAGCATGCCCTCGCATTTTTTACTTTACAATCTTACTTAAGATTGCTCAACAATCTGAATATGCCTAATAGCTTGTAGCGCCTTTTGTTTTTAGAGTCTATATGGGCAATCTTCAAGAAATATGTCCACCTCTATTCCACTGGCAAGTTCCAGTAAAATGGATTTATCAAATTCAGGTTTGAGATTGCTTGTCACTAAAGGACCTCATGCTCAGAAGGTGGTTGGAATATGGCTTTTTGGTTGTGCTGCTTGGGTGTTTAGTTTAGTTGTACTAGGTGGTGTGACACGTCTCACTCGTTCTGGTCTATCCATGACTGACTGGAAGTTCACTGGAGGACTACCTCCCTTGTCTGAGGATCAGTGGTTGCTTGAATTTGAGAAGTATCAGCAGTCACCAGAGTACAAGCGGTAAGACTGGTTAATATATATCATATTTTTAATTTACATGCACGCTGCATTTGCTCTCCGAAATTTCTGACCTCTTTAATTACTGTGGATTACTGGAAGTTTTTGTTTCTTCAAATGGCAGATCAACATTTGGCATCTATTGATTTCAAATGAAGCTTAAATCGTTTCTCCAGGCAACTTTGTTTATTGACAATAATGTTTTGTCCTAATATTCGAATGCGTATGCCATTCAATTTATCAAACATTTTTCAAAGGTCTAAATTCATAGGTTCCTGTTGAATATAAGTAAAGATTTCATGGAACTCTTTGAATATAAGTAAAGATTCAATTTTTTTACTTGAACTAGAATGCTATATCTTTGTACCCTTCACGATAGGTAACTTGAACATTTTTCGAACAATTTTTTTTACAAGACTCTAATCTGTAAAGTGAATGCAGTATCACTTTGTGGTCTATGCTGATAGAAGAATGTTATCATTAACTTCTTGCAGAGTGAACAAAGGGATGACTCTTGAAGATTTCAAATTCATTTACTGGATGGAGTATGCACACCGGATGTGGGGGAGGGGTTTGGGGATGGTGTTTGCCTTCCCATTTATGTACTTTCTTGCAAAGGGTTTTATTACCCGGCAACTAGGACTCAGACTCTCGGCACTTTTTGCAATTGGTGGTGCACAAGGGCTAGTTGGCTGGTGGATGGTCAAAAGTGGACTAGAGGTAATGAGTCATCCTTAATCCATATAAGCATCAAAACTAGAGTCTGTTGATTCTTTTTCCGCTTCCTTTTTATTTGTGTAGGAACCTCCATCAGAGTATGTTCAGCCTAGGGTTAGCCCCTATCGTCTTGCAACTCATCTTACGTCTGCATTCGTTATTTACTGTGGTATTCTGTGGACTGCATTATCTGTAGTTATGCCAGAACCACCAAGTGGAACATTAGAATGGATTCGTGGAGCAGCTAGAGTTCAGAAATGGGCTGTTCCTGTTAGTCTCCTCGTTGGCATGACAGCCATCTCTGGAGCTTTCGTAGCAGGCAATGATGCGGTAACGAGTATTCGGCTACGTGAACATCATCAATTAACCTAGTATTGGCGGCCCGTAATTAATATTATTTTGAATGAATGATGACAGGGACATGCATATAACACATTTCCCAAAATGGGTGATTCATGGATCCCGGAAGATATTTTTGACATGGATCCACTTATTCGTAATTTTTTCGAGAATACATCAATGGTTCAGGTAAATAACTTGGCCCCTCCCTCCCTGAATGGCAGTCGCCACAACCTTACCAATTGGGCATACTGTTTTCTGACTTGTGCAGCTCAATCATCGTATCCTTGCAACGGCAACACTTGCATCAATTGGTGGATTGTGGTTTGCTGCAAGAAAAGTGAACATTCATCCAGCTGTGCAATCTTTAATTGGAAGTACCTTGGGGATGGCAGCACTTCAGGTAAACATCTATTATATTTTTCATAACTGTAGTTTTTCCAATCTACTCACATTAAAAAATTAAAGCACTTAATTTTTTAATGTGAGTTCGTTTCTCCACATCATAAAATAGTAACAAGTGTTACTTGTATAATAAAATTACAACGTAAAATGAACAGGTAACGGTGGGGATCACGACGCTTCTCACGTATGTTCCAGTGTCTCTGGCATCAGCACACCAAGCAGGGGCACTCACCCTGTTGACGCTTATGATCATCCTGACGCACACGCTGAGGAGGCCCTCTCCAGCCCTTCTCAAGTCCCTCACTTCCATCCGAAAGATGAAGAGTTAGTTAATGCGGGGGGCTGATATTTCTACTCGATGTGATTGTCTTTTCGACCGCTGACTGATATTTGTCGTCTCCATTGCGGTTGTATTTTTAGTTCTACTCGATGCCAAGTGAAAGTTTTTGGGTTATTAAAATTATTTACATGTGTGTGCTTTTTTGTTGAGGTGCAAATAGAAGCTAGTCAGAAAGAAATTCATGTAGATGTGGAAGCCACTGATTGATTGCCTGACAAACCCAATATTTCCACTGATTCTGAAAATGTAAAAATGAAAACAGGATCACAACACAAAATTATTTGTTATCACCGAGTCCCTTGGAATTATGATTTCAAGCTCATAAAAATCTTACCAGTTCTGTAAGTCAGGATTTTCTAAAGAGAAGCTAGCCGTAGTTTGTTTGTTTGTTTTTTTTTTATTTTAAACATTTTCAAATTGGTGCCTAGAACAGATTCCTTCACAGCTAAAACATTTTTAGTTATTAAAAAAAATCCGGATTATTGTCCCAATTAGATCTCATCTCCAATCAACAAAAAAAAGGAACCCTTCTCCATAATGCATCTATGTAGTGGGTGCAATTATCATCTTTGTTAATGCATCTTTGTTAATGCACGAAAAAAAACGAAAAAAAAAAATTAAGGATCTATGTAGTGGGTGCAATTATCATCTTTGTTAATGCATCTATGTATTAACCATAATGTCAGTTTCCAAATGTCATATAGCAGTAGTATATCGTGCATCCATGGTATACGATTCAACAAGCCTTTCTGTCAATGTAGAACAAGTTGACTTCACTGTTATCGAGTGTGACAATATTATCTCTATTCTTAAAACATTTGTACACATGTTCAAGATTCGACTTTGGCCAGAATTAAGTAGGCAGAGATTAGATATTTGGTACAGGACAAACGAAATTTTACATGCAATGAAAAAAATTCTCTCTTGATTATCAACTAATTAAATTTCCGAGTGGAACAATTGACATGCATGAACAGTCCATCAAGATTGTTGATCGACACCTAAGAATTAAGCATCAACGACATCACAATAATATTTTGAACCCAACAGTTGATGAGCTTGTTTTATACTATCCCTTTGCACTTGCAAAGACCCTCTACACATGGTAAATAGACACCTGATTACAAAATGGACATGCTATCTATTAAATTTCATCTCGACTTATATCAAACAAATCATCCATAACCACATTCATCATGCTTCGTTAAGTTCATTGGAAGAAAGTATTTCACTTCCCTACACCAGTAAATCCACTAGATTATAACCATCTTTCCCTGATCTGACATTAACTCCAAAAACACTTTTGAATATCTTAGAGAGATGTTGTCAGCTGAAACATTTTTTAGTTCATGTCCAAGAATAGGGTGGTATTCCTACCCCATAAAAATATTTATGTAGAATAAACATTTCACACAGACATACAAGCTACAAGGAAAGAATAGCAGGCCGTATGCAACCAAAGGAGAGATAATAGATACACTAATACTCTTAGAAACTATGTAGTGGTTGCAATTATCATCTTTGTTAATGCATCTAAAAATGTTTATGTAGAATAAACATTTTTTAGTTCATGTCCAAGAACAGTGTGGTATTCCTACCATAAAAATATTTATGTAGAATAAACACTTAACACAGATTGCTCAAAAGTTTCTCCGAGTCTTGCCATTATTTTTATCCAACCAATTCGAGATGGTATATGCGTCATGAAACATTATAAATAAAATCAGTTTAATTCATTCAACCAATCCCTTATGCAACTCAATCGAAGAGTTTTTGGACTGACCATTACAAATAACTATCAACTGATTAATGAAACTCGATTCCCCCCCATCCTCTACTTGTAAATATTAACTTGTCGACTTTACTGCCGGATGATATTAACAAACCATGAGCTTGCAAGTTGCAACTCATTTCAGTTTAACCATACCTGAAAATTTTAATGAGGCTACTAAATCAACATTGACAGCATGAAACTTACATTTAAACTAGGGAGGTGACATATATACTGTGAAAGAAGCTCATTAAGAACAATGATGTACTGTGTAACATGTGTGTTGATAGTGGTTTCCAAGAAGAACACTATGAATCAAGGGAGAAGATATGAAAACGGATTAAAAATAAATCCATCCATATGAACAACTAAAAATTCGGTGATACTCATATCCAAGATCCTAAAGAAGATCAGAGATTGCTTGAGTAACACCACAACAGGAGAATTATATTCAAGAACGACTCTGCAACACCAAAATGTCCTCGACCTTCGTTACCGAGGGAAGACAAATGGTATGAACTCTCTTTGATCACCTATCCCGGTACTTGCAAAGACAAGAAAAGTCGTCCGATGCAAAAGGTGATTTCCTATTTGGCCTTCTGATGCATCTACCAAACCCTACCAATAGATCCCCCTATATATTGAACCGATCATGTCCTCAGCTGCATTCTACGGAAAAGAAACTCAACCGAATTCAAGAAATCCCATTAAAGAAATCCAATCTAAAACAATGAATCGAAAGAACTGAAGACTTAGCCCCCGTCTACACACTGTTCGATCACCTCAACCCATTTCTGCAAGAAGAGGTGAGATGGACAGAAAACAAGAAACGAAAAAAGAAAGAAAAGGGAACGCCGACATTGAAACCCTAAACGAAACCCCCAAACTCAAGCGACATAAGGGGTTTAATTTGAATGACCATATGTTTCTGAGATCCCCTCGTCGATCAGACACACCGAGGATACACGAAATTCTTACATGCGAAGGCAAGTTGGAGTTCATAAAAAAGAACAAAGAATACCACAAGGAAATGACCTTTCAGATCTTGAGATTGAATCGCCTCGTCGTCCAGATTCATCAATAACCCCCCAACTTCTTCCGCGCATAGGCAGATCGGTCGTCAAGAACACGAGAAAGAATCAGAGAGATCACCTGACGTCGCCTTACCTCGGAGAGAAGGGTGGCCAGCGAGGGAGAGCAGATCGCCTTTGCATCAAGGCGATCGCCGAGTTCTTGGAAGCGCGATCATAATATAGTCCTGCTTTGAAACTGGCGCAAATCATCTCTCTCTCTCTCTCTCTCTCTCTCCATACCAAACACGCACGCCCGGGGGAGAAATAGAACCGGGAAGCCGTTTTCTCACGTGCACAGCACGTGATCAGTTATATCTCTTAATTTTCTCTATTGACAGCACATTCATCCTTTGCGTGTTTCGTTACGCTGCTGCTATTTATTATGTTTATTAATTCCTCTTTCCTTTAATCTCGCTGCTCGCTAATGTACATACGATCAATTGCATGATTACGAAACGACTACGTCTTATTATAATAATTATCACATATACAGTATCTTCTCGAAATAGATCCAACGGAGTCGAGCAGATCACCGAATCGTAACACGACTTGAACTTGAACCGGCCATCAGCAGCCGACCATTCCTACCGTGGACCGGATCGTTCGACCAACGAGTTGTATTGCACCGGCTGGGAGTCGATTATGGTCTTGGTCGAGCCATCTGGTTTGGTCGCACCCGGAACGTGCCTCACCTGACCACATTGTGCTCGATCTCATCGCTTCATCCCGTACGCCGTCTCTCTTTCCTTCACGACAAGCTCTCTCGTCTGCGTTCGAATCGTGACACATACACTAACCAATGAATGATTAGAATTACCATAAACACAGCAATGAAAGGACCAACTCCGTCGTGGGCGACAGCCACGAAGGTACTTTCTAAGACACCTAATCGTGCAACAGACTCAACACCCAATCAATGATGGCCTAATACCTGCGTTGTTACCTGCAAAGATAGGGTCACGGCCAGCTGTAGTACCGGATTAAGGACAAGAGATTAAGCAACGAGTCGTTGGTTTCTTCGCCATCCGCAAGGAAACGCGTGTCCTGACTTATATTTTAACTAGGTGATTACGTAGGTTAATCCAAAATTTGGTTGTGGGATGATCCAGTCAACCCCAAACAACAGTTTGCAAGCAACACTGACGCATCGCCATAGCTGTGCCGGGCGTGTCAGGAGGCGGTCATCATCATCCGCGGCCTTCGTTGCCTGTTGACGCGTGTTTGACGCTTTCTCTTATCCACTTTTACTGCCACCCCCCCCCCAACTGGACCTTGTAACACACCCGTCGATCCAATTTAAACAGAATGAACACATTCGAATGGACCGAAATATCCTTATCCTTTTTTTTTTGTTGTCATCGTTACTCATGGATCTACACAGTTTCTTCGTCCCATGTTTCTGGTCTCTCAGTACTTTGGCTATCAAGGGCAAATCGGGAAAGTAAAAAAGGAAGAGGCGGAGCTCCCCACAAAACAAAGAAATAAGAAGGATATTAAATACGATAAAGAAAACAAAAGGCTCAGATATATAGAGAGAGAGAGAAGCAACGAGGCGTGGAGAGGCGAAGAGATGGATGTGGAGAAGAGGGGAGGCGAGAGCGTGTGAGTCGTTCAGGCCGTTTCGGTTGTTCGCGTGGCGTGCGAGCAATGCCTCCTCGTTAGCTTTCCCCATTCTTCTCTCCTACACACATACACGCGTATATAGATATATATATATATATAATTATATATATACATATACACCCTTGCCCGACGCACCATCTTCTTCTCCTATCCTGCCCTGTTTGGACCAGCTATCGGGCTTCCAAGAAGACACCGCCCACGCAGCAACCGACCTCAGGTAAGACGGACGGAACACTTTCCTTTAAACAGTTCTTATGACCAAGTTGTTTGATCCCTCCTTTTGTTTCTTCTCCTGTCAGTCGCAAATGTTAATTATCTGCATGCAATCTTCCTTGCATGTCAATGTTGAGGCAGGATTCGTAGGACGATGGATCGAGACAAGAAGAAGAGAGGCAGGGAAGAGCCGCGGGAACGACGAGCCGCCGCGGTGACGGAGGCGGAGCAACCGAAGAAGAAGGGGAAGAGGAGCGAGGAGGCGGAGGCCGTACCCGAGAGCTGCCGCGTGGACATCGTGGACGTCACCGACGTGTTCCGCCCGCCGGGGCTGTTCGAGTTCCCGTGGCAGAAGGGCGAGGTCCTGCTGCTGCCGGAGCCGCCTCATGACTGGGACCTCGGCGACGCCTTTTTCTCCTCCCTCGTTGACGGCTCCTCCGCCGCCATCGGGTTCCCCGGCGACCGGCTCTCCCCCACGGCCCCGGGCCCCTTCTGCCTCCCCGAGGAGCCGTCCGACGGGGAGCTGGACGGCGGCGTGGATTGCATCTGGAGCTCCGTCCTCCGCCAGCCGCTCTCCACCGTGTACAGCAAGAACTGCAACGCATGAAGAGAGAATCGTAACAGGTTCTTCCTCTTTTTCTTTTCCCAGGCCTTTCTCTTCTTTTTGAACTTAGATGTTAACTGTAATGGTTACAAGTGATGAATCCTATTCGAAAAATTCATCTTATTTAAATGCTTCAGTTATATTCCGCTCTATTTATTAAAAGAAAAAGAATCATATAGAATTGTTGTCATGTGAAGGCATTGGAAATGGTTACCAAGTCGTTCTTCCAACACATGACACTGATAAAGCGAAGCATTTCTACCCGCAATCGTTCCAAGTATTGGGCGATTCGGCGGTCCATATAGTGCCCGCCCATATTGGGGCATCGCGATGGTGTGCATCGAGGTCAAGCACGAATCTCAAGCACCGACGATCTCTGCATGTGATTCATCCATCAATCATCCTCTAATTTAGTGTACTTGGGCAGAGAAGAAGTACATAAATGGAGTCCGATAGGAAGTGAAAGGTTCCTAATAACGAGGAGGTACTGTGGATGCAGTGAGGAACCATTCTGGTATTGGTCATTTTCTGAGAGCCATATACCTCGAGGTTTCGACGTCAACAACTATTGCATACGCTAGCAACCTTCATGTGCTTCTCTAATTCCCATTGTTGAAACATACGCAAGAGCATGAGTTGTTAGTGTTGCATGAAAGGGCACTAATAGTTTACCCAATCGGATCTGCAGAATTGAGTCCCGATACAAATATTTCGCTTAATGCTACTCTCTGAGAATTGAGTCCCATGGGAACATCGACTTGGTGTCGGTAATCAGTTGCATACGAATCAAGTAATACATATTATTTGATCATCCACAATGCGTGAACTATCTATCCAAAGTGCTCCAAAATTAGAAGTTTGGCAAGCCATGGACCCACGTCGAACGTATATGACGAGCGAATAGAACACAGTGACCCACCACGTGGCCGCAGAAGCATTAATTATCGGTAACGATTAATAATGATTAGATCAAAAATAAAAGAAAAGCACCATTTTCTTTAGAGAGTCGGCGAAAAGGGGGGCCCACTTCGGTTCGGAACGAAGCGGGAGGTGGGCCCAAGTCCCCAGGCGTGTGGTTTGGGCCGCATGGTCTGCCGACGCTTGGTGCGTCCCCACACCGACGCGAGGCCCCGCGCGTGGGAGAACGACACGAAGGCACTCCTCGTTGGCAACGCGTTGCCTTCTCCATGTCATCGCCAGTCCTTTTACGATCTTCAAATATTAGAATCATGAAAACTCAGATTCATCGCCTTATCTTATCGATTAGTATTTCGTAGTTTGAGTTAAAGAGATACGATTATGGAATTTTGATTTTGAAGTACAACATCAAAGAAACCGAATTCAGGCGATAGGACGGTATCGAGCGCTGCGTCTTTTCATACGTGTCATCCACGTCATCATCAGACTCCAGAGAACACGTCCTGCTTCCCTAACGTTTAAAACAACTTCCCCTGCTCCCCCCGATACCTAAACTTATCCTTTCTTCTCCATTCGAAGGGAGTTTGGACTCGCCAAGGAAGCAATCACTTCTTCGATACGAAGAGCGGAGGCGCAACCCTTAACATCGAGCGGCTTCCGCCTGCGACGAGAGGAGCGAAGGCAGAGATGGTGGGAAGGAAACTGGTTCTGTTCTTGCTCTGCATCTCCGTCGTCGCGCCCATTGTTCTCTACACCGATCCGCTCGCCACCCAGCCTAGCTACCTCGGTAATGCCTAGATCAAAAAAGAAGCAATCGTTTGCCCTCTTTTTCTTCTTCTTCTTTCTTTTTGGGTTTCTTAAAAGAAGTACGTGTTCTTTTGGCAGCAGATATCCATCTCGGTGACGAGATCCCAACTTTGGTAAGTTACTCTTTTCTTTAGGCTCGTTGCTGGTCTTTGAAACCTTCATCTCCGAATCTTTTCGGTAGCTTTTGGATTCATGATCTCTTCATTTGGTACTTAATCGGGATGACTTCATTTCGGCACAGAAGTCCGTCGATGCGGTTCGAGAACCAAGTGGGATCGTCTACCCTGAAAACTCTACCAATCCCGATCAGATCTCGGTTCATGACAGCGGTAGAGCGGTTGCATCTAATACAACCAGTAACATTTCTTCTTTATGCTCTATTTGAATCACAGTTCCGCAACATCATCTCCCGTCCAATCATATGACGATCTGTGCTTGCTGCTTGATCGATGACAGCGTTGCCTTCGGGCAAGAATGGTGACCGCAAGAACCGAGTTCTATCACAAGACAACAACCAGACGGCTCCGTCAGAGACGGATGATGGTGCTGTGATTAGGCAAGTGACTAGCAGAGAAACAAGCGAAGGGGCTACGGCGATGGAGTCACAGACCGTGCTTCCAACCCAATCTCGAAATCAGGTAAAGCATATGGATATAAGCTTTAGATCTTCTCAACATCCGTAAATGTAGCTTATATTCTGCAACAGTACATCTTTATTAGCAAATTTAATGTGAACGAGATACATTGACTGTCTTCGACAACCAGCAGAAACCAGGAAAAAGATCGAAAAGGGATTCAGGTCGTATGCCGGATGCTAAAATCCAGCAATTTAGAGACCAGTTGATGAAGGCAAAGGTGTCTCTTGGTCTTTCGTCTTCCAAGAGCAACCCAGAATTCATCAGGGAGCTCAAAGAACGAGTGAAGGATGTTGAGCGCACGCTTGCTTATGCAACCGAGGACACAGAATTGCCAATCAAGTAAGGTTTCTTATACCTACATTTACCTATTGCACTTTAAGGCGAGAAAGTTTGATAGAGACAAAAAGTAACAGAGGAGGCATGTTTGAATGAAGCTTTGCAAATAAATCATGTATCGGAATTTACTTACTTTAATTATGCAGTGCTCAGGAGAAACTGGAGGCGATGGAGCAAACTTTGGCCAAAGGGAAGCAAACTCAACAGGACTGCTGTGCCGTCGTCAAGAAACTCCGACGTTTTTATCTCTCTGCAGAGGAACAATTGCGTGTTCATAAGAAGCGGGAGTTGTTCCTCACGCAAGTAGCTGCTAAAACCCTCCCCAGAGGTCTCCATTGCCTCTCGCTGCGTCTCACCACCGACTACTACTCGCTCGACTCGTGCCAGCAGCAGTTGCCGAACCGAGACAAACTCGAAAACCCTCGACTCTATCATTATGCGCTCTTCTCTGATAACGTGTTGGCCACCGCAGTCGTTGTGAACTCCACAGTGTTCCATGCCAAGGTCAGCCCTTCACCACTCTTTATCATTACCTCGATCTAACCTTTGTTCACCGGAAGATTTCCTTTCCGACTGCAGGACCCTCAGAGCCATGTATTCCACATTGTCACCGATAAGCTCAACTATGCAGCCATGAAGATGTGGTTCTTGGCAAACCCACCGGCGAAGGCTACGGTTCAGGTTCAGAATGTCGAAGAGTTTACATGGCTGAACTCGAGCTACAGCCCGGTCCTAAAGCAGCTCGCATCTCGATCCATGATAGATTACTACTTCCGGTCCCAACATGCGAAGTCTGACCAGAACTTGAAGTTCCGAAACCCCAAGTACCTGTCTATTATGAATCATCTGCGGTTTTATCTGCCGGAGATCTTCCCAAAGCTCAACAAGGTAGTATTTTTGGACGACGATGTGGTGGTGCAGAAGGACCTCACCCCCCTTTGGGCCATTGATCTAAAGGGAAAGGTTAATGGTGCCGTCGAAACATGCGGTGAGAGTTTTCATAGGTTCGATAGGTATCTCAACTTCTCGAATCCCCTCATTGCCGAAACCTTCGACCCGCATGCTTGCGGATGGGCATACGGAATGAATGTTTTCGATTTGGACGAGTGGAAGAAGCAGAACATTACTGATGTCTATCACCATTGGCAGAATCTGGTAAAGATACAACAAATCCTATCTCTCACGCTTTTCACTTGGATTAAGATTGATGTTTATGTCTCATTCACATGGTTTGATCTCTCTAAATTTGTCACTGCATCCATGTCTACAGAACGATGACAGACAGTTATGGAAATTGGGTACCCTTCCGGCTGGATTAATTACATTTTGGAACAGCACGTATCCCCTGGAACGCTCATGGCATGTATTGGGACTCGGATACAGCCTGAATGTGGAGCAGAAAGATGTCGAGGCGGCGGCCGTCATACACTACAATGGAAACCTGAAGCCTTGGCTGGAAATAGGCATGACTAAGTATCGCAACTTCTGGTCTAATTATGTGGACTATAACCAGGCTTATCTAAGAGACTGCAACATCAATCCTTAGGATATATATATATATATATATATATATATATATA